ATTATTCATCAATCCACCACACGCGACAGGCTTGACACGGCGTGTCCAGCGTGGTCCGGCCCAAAATTACTCATCATGGAAGGCGGAATCTCGGGTCTTCGGCCTCATGTTCGATTGATTGGCTGAGAATATTCCTCGTAAATCGTTGCCATGGATACCGGGATTCGATCCATCGACCCTGCCAACCACGTGATCTCAACCTGCTCCTCATTGCCATCATCATCATCATGCTGTTTACTTGTTGTTATCATTACCCTTGTTGTTCTCCCTTGTTATTCCATCACAATGACTCATCCCTTCTATTCACGTTTCTCATTTCTTTTATCAGTATGTCCCTTGAAATAATCCATGTACCCGTGAAAGCTGAGAATAGTATTTTTATTTTATATCATCATAGCTAGTCACTCATAGAAAACTATATAAGCACTTAGCTGTGAACTCGAATAAACATCATCTTATCTGATCACGTATTGAGATTAGCGAGCAAACATATTGGTCGAGTTTACCTTTGTGTTGAAAAGCGTATCTTTGATTGAAGAACCTTGGCGTATACATTTGTCGTTTATCATTGGTTGTGTGTTGCTTTCGTGAAGTAATTGCATAATCAACTCGTTTTCATCAAGAACCTACAAGGCCGGAACAAGCAAGAACCCAGAACTGTGCCGTTCGTGTCAGGCTGACACACCTCAAATCGAATGATATGCCAAACTACTACTACCTATGGTAAAAATTATGACGCCAAGATCGTTTTCGAAGCCTTACACGTGATGTCCTCTTAACGATCCTTGACGTTCCCCACACACTCCTTTGCCTTTCCCTTTTTAGAACCCCCGACGCCCCGTATCATGCACCAACACTTCCACGTCATACTTGTTTATCTTTTTCCCTGTTCCCTTTTCTTGTTTCCTTTTCGTGGCTTTTCTTCTTACTCATCACTTTTGTTATTACTTGCTTCCTTTTGACCTTCACGACCTTTCACTTTCAGCACATTCCACTTTACTTCTTATGTTATTCATTCACACTCTTACATTGGCACAGTACAACAGCACCACGATTGCACCCTGATCTCAAACGTCATTGTCAAGCACCATGTTCACGATTCTCTTATCATCTTTATCACCCTTTCGGTGGCTCCCGAATGCACCATGACCAAGTATTATCATTCAGACACGCTATAAGTTAAATCCAGACACACTAAAGGCAAGCACACACGTATACACACACACACACACACACACACACACACACACACACACGCACACAAGTACACACACGCACACACATGTCATCATTATCATTATCATTATCATTATCATTATCATCGTTGTATCAATCATCTTAGTATAAAAAGCTCGAGTATTGAATAAAGAAGGATAAGCTTGTTGAAGCCGAAGATTGAGATTGTTTTCTATTGTTGATCGCTGACCGCAGTGCGAACGAGACCTTTTATCCCTTTAGATCTTTCATTTCCCTCTCTCTATTGTACCCTTGAATTCGCCTTTTTGATTATCTTTTCGATAGTTCATTGCAGGTTGATCTTTCAGTCTACAGTGTTCACTTGTTTATTCTTATTTGATTGCTATATCATTGTATTTCTATTTGCCGGCGAAGTCTTTATCATTTTACCTACCCTATACACCCAACTTACCTTCCCGGATATTCTTACATTACCCCTAGCACCGCACGTGTCAGATTGGTGTCAGCAAGGTGGAAAGCATGTCAACAGATCAAAATACGCGTGCCGTGCCATCCAACATGTACGCAGACTTACATCACAAACGTCAACTCTACAAGTTTTTGTCCGAGCCAAAGGATTTCCATGGTACTTCGGATCGCAATCCTTTAAGCTGGCTTCGTCATTTGGATCGTATCAGGCGAGGTCTTGAATTAAAGGATGAAGAGATATTGCTGGTGGCATCTACTCATTTCCAAGGCCAAGCCGAGCATTGGTGGGACACTATCGAGGACACCATCAAGACGTGGACTCAATTCAAAGAAGCATTCCGCAAGCAGTTTGCTGAATCATTACAAGATCGTTGGTGGTCCGAATTGGAAACAATGGAGCAGGATGATGATCAATCCGTTGATGATGTGGCATTGTCAATTTTGGAGTTGTGTCGTTTGTTGGATATCAAGGACAAGAGCTATCATATTCGTTGCTTGTTGCGTGCAATGAAACCCGAAATCGGCTATGAATTGGAAAAGGCTGGCGTTACATCTGATTGGGATGATGTTATCAAGGCTGCTCGTCAAGTCGAAGTCGTGATGAACTAGTATACCAAATCAGGATTCTCAGTGCCAGCAAAACGTGTCATCAAAACCGGTTCAGAAACATCAAGTCAATCGTCCAAGGCAAGTGATGCAGGATCCAAGAGTGATTATGACGCAGCAAGTATTGGAAGTACACTCGACGAATTGGTTTCGGGCATGCGTGCTTTAAAAATCAACCTTGTGGATAAAGCACCTCGTTCAAGACCACCAAATAGAGGACCAATTCGCTGCTTCATGTGTCATCAAGAAGGCCATAAATCGTACGAATGTCCTGAAAACAACAATTCGGGAAAAGTGGCGGGACACCAGTGAATGGAGGCACTGGTGTCGTCAATCCAAAATCCTCCTCAACAACATCTTCACAACAATCATCCGAACGCAAGTCTGGTGCTGTAAACTTTGTTGAAAATGGCGATCCTGCTGAAGTGATGCATGCTCAAAAGAGAACAGCCGATGATGCGTCATTGTCTACTCGAGGTGTTGATAAAGGAAAGCGTCCTGCAAGTGGTCCAAGAGCTGTAGGTGGTGAACCAATGGATGTTGAGGTGTCGAATTCCAATGCTGTTCAACAAGGCAAAACTCCTCGTCCTCGTAAACGTGCACCACCAAGACGATTGGTTGTCAACACTGCCAAAAGAGACTTATGGCGACGATTGGCACAACTCGATTCAGGCTTGAACATGGCGCAATGGATATCTTTAGACAAGGCTGCTTATCGGGATTTGCGAGATGGATTGCGTTATCTTTATGGCCGACGCCCTAAGAATGAAGTCCGCAAGTCCACTGGTCAAGTGAATGCGATGGAAGTTGATATTGGTACTGAAGAAGAACAAGGATGGTCTACTGAGTCGGAATGGTCTGATACAGAAACCGAATCAGTATATAGTGTGGATTCCCTCGACACGGATGATACATTACCTGATTATCCTTACGACTTTACAACCTTACAAAAAAGCAAGCCCATGAAAGCACCCATCGTGATCAATGGCGAAGTTATTGAAGCAACCTTCGACACTGGAGCAAGCGTATCCGTCATATCCAAACCCTTGCCAGAGAAACTTGGACTCAAGCCTAATGGAGATTGTTTGCCGTTATCAACCCTTGGGCAAGCATCAGCAGGCGTTGGCAAGGTTACAACACACGTACCTATCAGAGTAGCTGGAAAGTATCGACCCGAACACATGTGCATATATGATACAGTAGATTGCAGTGAAAGTTGAACACGAAGAAAGAATTTTGGTAGATGAAGCTGTTTTTTCAGTGACGAGAGATTTATTGTTGGATGTTGGCAAAGTAATGTTGGTGAACAAGCTCTTTTATTTTGGAGGGTGACAAGATAATGTTGGTGGGTGATTGTATTAAAGATGGTGGGTGGAGAAGTAATCTTAGTTGGCGGGCGTCGCAATGTTGGCGGCGAGTGAAATAAAGATGGCGGGTGGAGGAATAATTTTGATTGGCGGGCGCGTAATGTTGGTGGATCATTGAAAAGATAGGGGACCACATTTTATATACTATATATACATAAATATACGTAGCTAAATAAGGAAACTGGGTTTTAAATAAAACCCCGACATGGTAACTGCATGCTCCGAAACGATCTAAAACAATCTCAAAAAGCAGTCACATAAGAAATTGATGCCCAATTTTGTACCTAAAGAAGGCTAAACCAAAGCTATACACTTGAGGGACCCTGGCTTATTCGTCGACACTTCTATCAGCTTTTCATACCACTGCTAATGCTGTAGATGAAGAGAGCAAGTCCAAAAACCTTGTAGATGATGAGAAAAACACACCCAACTTTGACCTTCATTTTCTCGACAGCCAATCGCCTAAATGACTTGCCAACCATTGTCGGTGGTGATATAGAGTCGTAGTATTTTGGTGAAAGTGCCAAAATCGCAATACAGGCTTTGACCACTTCTATTTTTGGCGCTTGCGTGGGTCACCAGACCGAAATGTGAGGAGGTTGCTGTCACGCCTTATTCTCTAGTTGCCTTGGGTCTTGCCAAAATAGGAACAGAGCCAAAGAAATGATAATAAACGCCCTCAAACTAATACCAGAATAGAGACGTGTGTGCAGAGGAAGCTTAATGTCGAGGAGGAGTTGTCAATAGAAAGAAAAGATAGAGTTGCAGATAAAAGTTGATATAGAAAGCTGATAATAGAGATGTGAAAAGTGATAGAGAAAATGAGCAGATAGATAGATCACTCGATAAACGAATAGATAATTTATTCACTACGATACTACAAAGATATTTATACTACTTAATACTCAAACTGTGGGAAGGTGTGAGAATGAGACAAGTGTGCTGCATAAAGCAGGATGGAACAAGGTGTCAAGTTGTGGAGGAACTTGAGGCCGCCGACTGGGATCCAATTTGGGGAGTGACTTGCCTCCGAACAGGGATTGTTGGCTTGAAACGGCGTTTGTGCGCTTTATCACCAGCCTTGAGCCCGACCTTGCCAGTTTGAAAGTTTGGTTTAATGGTCAACATCCTTCTCTGTTGACCAAGAGGTATGGGTTCGATTCCCGGGGAGCACCTTTTTTACCATAAGTGATGTCTATATTTTGTTCCTTTTTTGTGTCGTAGGTCATGTGACCACGTGACCTAGCTTTTGCTCGTTCCTCGACACCCTGGAATGACCACTATGCAGGATTTGGTGCGTAAACGTTGGTGGTGGCTCAACATGAAACAAGACATTCAAGAATGGATTGCCCAATGTTCACAATGTCAATCGCTGGTGCTGACCGCAATAATCATCATGCACCTATGCATTTGACCGGGAAATCCCGCCTGCTTTTTCTCGTTGGCATTTGGACTTTATTGGAGAATTACCTACTACCACAAGTGGTAATCGCTCGATACTCGTTGCTGTTGACTACACGACAAATCAAGCCTATTGCTCGAGCTGTTCCTGATGCAACCAGTGAAGCCATTGCCAAGTTCATTCACGAGGAAATTGTTATGCGTTTTGGCTGTCCTGATGAAATCGTAACCGATCGTGGCGCTAATTTTACGGGCAAGTTCTTGGATTACTACCTTGGTCGACTTAAAGCCAAACACAACTTGACTTCGGCTTTCCATCCTCGTTCAAATGGCAAGGTTGAACGTACCAATGGGATACTCAAATCCATGTTACGCAAGTATGCATGGTGAAATACATCGCTGGGATGATTTTCTTGACACCGCTTTGTTTGCATGCCGCATTCGCAAACATCGAACGACACAAATGAGTCCATTTCATGGTGTACGGTCAAGACCCCAAGTTACCTGGGTGATCCATTGCGTCCTCTTATTACTGCTGATGAACCACAAGATGATCCCCAAGCACATGTTTCAAGTCGACTCCCCACACTTCGTTCCTTACGTGATGCTCGTGCCGAGCTTACATAGATGCAAAAGGATCGTGAAAAAGACAAGCAACACTGATTTGCTCACCAAGAAGCAAGTTTATTCGGTTGACGACTTTGTCTTATTACGACACGAAACAAGTTTGGCTTGGAATACAATTGGCGTGGTCCTTACAAGATTGTTGAACGTAACCTTGACACGGATATCTACAAGTTACACAGCATGAATGGTGAAGTACAAGTCTGGGTGCACACTGATCGTTTACGTCCCATTCATATCAACAAGGCCGATGGTAATCCTGACATGGTACGATCCCACTGCTACAAGAGCACGTTGGCGCTAACTTACCGATGCTGCCAATACTATTGCTTCCGGCGTTGGTCGAGGGCGACCAAGATTTTCGGGAGGGGGTGTTGTTCCTTCTAGAACCCTTTTCCTTTGATGCTGGCAATTGCTAGAAGCCCTTTACTAGCATCTTCCACATCATTCATAGAATCCATACATTGAACATATATATATCGTGAACATCCTTAGCAATAAAAGATCATCACTTATCATAGCAACACCAAAAGTTATATCATTGGCCACTGATCTAATCAGCCATACGATAACGACATTTGTCGCAGCAACATACCGGATCTTCTTGATCGGTATTATCTTTTTGTACATCTTTATCATCTTATCTTCTTTATGCTGCGCCCTCCATCATTACTTCGCCACATCCATATTACTTAGCCATCTTGATATACTTAGCCCCATCCAACAATTATAAATAGTGGACCATCTCATTAATAAAACATGATCTTACGTTCTCTTTACTTTATTGTCTATTTGCCTGTGTGGCATCTTATTCTCCTTCGTGGTTCTATTCCTGTGTGTGGTCTTATTCCTTTCGTGGTCCTATTCCTGTGTGGTCTATCTATCCTTCAGTGGTCATTATCTCCTTCGTGGAAGTCGTCTATTATCCTGTGTGGATCCAAAAAGAAAGACGACATTTTTGAAGTTGTGACTTCGTAAGTGAAACTTTTTAGGTGGCTGTGGGGCCCGATGGTTGTTGCTCTCTTCTCTTTCATTCATTGATCATTATGCCTGTTGTTAAGAATACATACGGCAAAGCGTGCTCAAACCATTTGGGATTTCACAAGCAAATTTCCTGATAGTTTGACTGTTGAAAGGTTTGTTTACTTAATTATTTGGGCAATAAAAGTAGTCATGTATTAATCTCTATGCAGATGGTTATACGATGAAGGGATTTACTGCAAGTCGATGAAGTGCAAGGCTGGAATTGACATGAGGCTGATTGAAGTCAAGAAAGATGGACAACCAAACCTCACATGGAAGTGCACCCATCGCCCATCTGCTGCAACCGTCAAAAGAAGTCTATTCGTGAAGGAAGCTTTTTCTCAGGGCTCAAGATCGGCATGCATCAAGTTCTTGGTATTGTGTGGCTCTACCTTTACAAGTTGGAATTCCAGGCTATTCAAGACCTGACGGTGTATCTGCACCAACCATTCGTGCCGTTGTGCGCTTGCTATATCGTTTGATGAATGCCGACATCAAAGACGAAGATGTATCTGTTGGTAGGTGACATCGCTCGTAAGAACGGTGTGCAATCATGCATTGAACATGATGTTTGTTATAGGTGGCATTGACGAAGATGGCAACCGCATCATTGTCGAAGTGGATGAATCTAAGCTCGCAAACGTAAAAGCCACAAAGGCCATCGTGTTGAAGGTGTGGTTGTTGGCGGTGTCGAGCGTACCCTGAACGCAAGATTTTTGTGACAACCATCGAGATCGCAAGAAGGATACTTTGCACCTGATCTTGAGTAATTGCTACTCAAAAGAAGGTGAAGAAATCTTGAACGGACTGTCGAAGGGGTACAATGGTCTCGCACGTATTCCTGGCAAAGGCTACCGCCATGAGACTGTCAACCACGCCAAGGAGTTCAAGACTGTATTGGTGTTCATACAAACACCATCGAAGGTAAAGTACTACATATGATCACGATCTTGTTACTATATGGTAATAATTGGTCATATGATTTAGGAACTCGGAATGGCATCAAGTCCATTATTAAGGCCCGCCACAGAACAGCTCCGATCATGAAGTATCGTCTTGCCGAGTTCATTTTCCGTCGCAAGCATGCTGGGGACCCTTGGGGTGGCATTATCAAGGCATTAAAAGAAGTATCCTTTGACAAGGTTACTTCTTTCGGACGATATAGATGAAGAATTCATCTATACAGAGGTCAAACGGGAACGTAGCGATTTGGATCACGATGATTCGGAGTTCAATGGTAAGTGAATTGACTTGAAAATCTACAATGATTAGCTAAGTCAATGATTAGATAATGCAATGGGAAACCGATACCGAGGATGATGATGACACATACCGTGAATACACAGCTGACTCTCATAGAAAACGCCCTAGAGGCCAATAAAACAAAGTCCATAGACATTTATTTGTTTTACTAAGTCCACTGCAGTCACGTTAGAAGCAGTAATGGAATAGATTAAAAAGTTGCTGTATATAAGGATCGATTAAAAGAAAGGTCATAGCTCGTAATCTAGTGGTAGGCGGAGTTTCGGGGTTGCACCAGCGTATTTGGAGCACCTCGAAGAACATAGTAGGTAATCATAGCCTCGTTACGGCAACATTTTTCCCCACTTGGCAGAAGTAGGCTCTCGACTTAGTAAAAATCCACCCAATTTTGGTAGTTTTTCCCTCATAACATGGGCGCATTTGATTCGATTAAGTTCGGGTTTTTTTCCCAGATTTTGTATTGCGGCGTCCATATGTGACCAAATTTGGAGGAACATCGGAGCATTTCGTTTTTACATCGTATGCCGATATGGTCAATCTGTTTTAAAAAGGAGACGTTTTTATTTCGGCGATTTCTTGCCAATCAGAGGTCGGAGATACAAATGGTTACCAGCAGTGTATTGTCGAGGTCCGAATGTATATATGGGTAAGGTTTTATGAAGAACAAGCGACATTCACAACTTTTTGCAGTGCGTAGAAATGTGGTCCCCTTATCTTTTCATTCAACCATGTTGGTGGGTTGGGAATAAAAATGATTGAGGGTGAAGTAATTTTGGTTGACGGATGTCGTATTGTTGGTGAGTTGGCAAGAGAATGATGGTGGTGGTAGGAATCAAGATGGTGAGGGAAGGAGATAACATGAAAGGTGAGGATAACGATGGACGCTAAGAATAATACAAGCAGCAACTAGCAAACATGTTGTATGCATGATCCAGAAGGTCCGCTTGGCCACACATAAAAAGTTGATCCCTCACATGTCTTCGTGCTCCTCTTCCTTTTACCATCTTGTTCCGCTCTCCCATCTTGCAAGCGGCATTCAATTTAGTCATTGCTGTGGATTGGGTGACATACTACATGTGTTGGAAAGGCATTATTGCAGAGTACACAGGCGATAAGGAAGTTTGCGAAAGACGTGCCGGTGCCGTTTGTGTTGCTAACGCGAACCTTTTTCCTCTTCTTACGGATAACAACAATCAACAACATTGTCATTACACACGCTTGAACACGGCATAGCATGACAAGGTACTATGGCAGGGTTATGTGGAAGTCGACTAGCACAGCTAGCGAGTGAGTTGGATGTGACAGTATAGCAGGGCGAGCTCGTTTCGTTTTGCATATCAGTCTGTTGCACGATTAACAACAAGACATACACGATCTACCATCACCATGGGAAATGAGACATAGTACTACACATGTAGAATCACGCATTTGGATGTTGGATGGCAATAAATGGTTCAGAGGTGATGCACGATGGATCGGATTGCTACCAAGTTATGATACATGATGGCATATGGTAATACATGGATCATGGGTGACCAATACGAAGGTTGGAAGATGGCTAGACTACACAATAGCAACGAGCTTTTTAGATGCTTCATCATTATCCTCTCACCCTTCATATTATCTCCTTCTCGCACCATCTTTATTTCTCCCACCACCATCATTCTCTTGCCAACCCACCAACAATACGACACCCGTTAACCAAGATTACTTCACCCTCCACCATTTTTATTTCCCAACCCACCAACATTACGTGCCCGCCAATCAAAATTATTCCTCCACCCGCCATCTTTATTTCACTCGCCGCCATTGTTCTTCTGCCGGCCCACCAACATTGCGACACCCGCCAACCAAGATTACTTCTCCACCCACTATCTTTAATGGGTATCTTTTACCTCCCGCTACTAGATCTAGTAGAAACTTCACATTATTTTTGGGAGACGACAAGTGATGTTTGGAAATTGAGGTCTTGATATCAAGTGCTTTGGCTTGTGGGCTTTTGGTATCTTGATAGAGATTTGCTATACGTCATGTGTGGAAGCTGTATGAAACCATTGTTAGTGACCGGGTCATTACCATTTTTGGGAGCTACTAGATCTAGTAGTTTTTCAAAAGCATTTTTCCAACACAAAGAATCAACGTAACAAAATGCGGATAGGTTGTAAAGATGCTTCAACTTATGTATATTTTATTAGATATTAATAGAAAATGCGTAGACCTCTTTAAAGTGCTTGGAAGAACATTCAACGCAGAGACCTTCACTTTGGTTGCACACACACATCCACGTAGATTTCTTTCCGCAAATCCGGCAAGTCATCTGGCCCGAATAGTACTTACCATCCTTTGCAAGCTTCCTTCCAATCTTTTTCATATCATGCACATCTCCAAAGGTAGAAGTAGGGATGGGCATTTATTCGATTAATCGTCATTCGACTTGATTTGTTCGAATAAACCAGAATGAGAATAAGATTTGATCGACTCGAATAGAATAAGAACAACCAAACAACCTCTCGAATAAGCCAGAACAAACAACTTTTTATTCGAATAACTTTAGAACAAAAAGGCCCTGTTCGTCATTCATTCTGTTATTCTATAAACCCCGATGGCGGATCCCCATGTCCATTGAACTGGCCCTTTTGAACGCTTTTTCTTTCGTGGCTTCACTATCACGTTATGTGCACACTACTAGTTCATGTGATATATGAGTATTTTCGCTTCATAGGTGTATTTCCATTTGTATTGGATGCAGCTGACATTGTCGTTCACATGCATCATGCATGTGTATCCACTGCGGAGTGTGCCCCCACGACCATAGATGTGCGCTGGTGACTTGGTTGGCATGGCAACGTGTTATCGGAGCGGGCCTCTTACGATCTGTGAACCTGAATGTGCAATGGAGTGACACGCAATGGCATTGGCATTGAAACCTGTAGGCATTGTATACCGTCCGAGACCCATTCGCGAATAATTCTGAAACAAGAGGTGGTCCATTCGAACATATTCGAATAACGTTATGCAGAATAGAATAGAATAAGAATAAGAGTTGAGCAACCCGAACAGAATAAGAATAAAAGTTTCTTCATTCGAATAGGCCAAATTAATCCAGAACATGTTCGATTAATCGGATGCCCATCCCTAGGTAGAAGCATTATTTTCGGTGCTGTACGGATCATACTTGTGCACCAACTCACTAGCCAATCGGTCGCGAAACTGAGATTGGGACATGTTGCGAAGATTTTCGGGACCAAATGCCCTCCAAGCGAGAAATGCATTAGCTTCTGCAACAGCCAAGAAAAAAGCAAAAGAACGATGCTGCCAGGTGTTGGTACCGATGACATCGTGGTACGAAAACATGTTGTCACGGATGTTGTTGTTGATATGAATTGCACCTTTGGCTGCATTGTAATCATCGAAAACGACTGCTCGTTGGAATTCCACACGCCGAGACTGATTGTTCTCCTTGACAACATGTGACACAATTGAACCAGGGATAGTACTGCTGCAAGTGCTGATAAGGCATTGAGGTTTACGATCTCTCAATGCAGCGATAAACATGGGAACAGCGTCGATTGTTGCCACTTTACACACGTGTGATCCGTAGGTGCCAGGCAAGTTGTCAATGATATCTTTGGGTACATTGCGTGGCCAGTACTTTCTTTTTTTCAAAGCCATGATACTGTAAAGCCCTTTCTTGCGCAATGCAGCAGCGACAGCAGGTGAGCCGAACCAGGAATCAGCAACGATTGTTCTACCAGATGCGAACCATGGCTTAGTCAATCTAACAATGCAACCACCTACAGCACCAAGGTTCGAAAACTCTTTCCCGTCCTGGTTTTTCTCACTGATATCAAGTCGCAGCATGATGTTCGTGGTAGCATCGGCGATATTCTTGAACTCTTGGCCTACTGGGTGAGGCTTTCCCAAGATCTTTTTGACATTAGGCATACGGGATACCTTACCCAACCACTGATTCATGGACTCATCAATCGTCAACGTCTTTCCAGGGATCATTGATGCTGCGAGATTGTCATTGTAGGCATTGAGATACCCACGAATGTCCACCAGCGGATCAGATGACGCATTGATCACCGTAGGATGCTCCAAGGTATGTGCCTTCAAGATCATCTCAAAACGACGTCTTGTCATCCATCGCGAAAAGTTGACGGGTGTCGTGAAGAGGAAAGAGGGCGCCGTTGACCAATATTTACCTCTGTCACTCATTGGGATCAATAGCATAGATGTCCACAAACCAATCCATAGCATGTATTCCTCCAACGTGAGATCTTTCCAATATCCAAGTGATAAAATTGCTGCCTTTGCGATGATAGCAGGAATCACATGGCGCGCAATATGATCCATCGGAAGGAAATGCATGAACATCTGAATAGGGCTGCTGTAAGCTGCGTTCGTGAGGGTGATCTGGGAATCTTGCATATATGAGAGGTTCACAAGGCGTGCATCAATGGGCACCTCTTCATCAGTCCATTGATTGTTCTCATTTTCCACAGGATTGGCATCATTATTGTTATCATCATCATCACGTACGTCGCTGCTGCTGTCGCTGTCATAGTCGACAAGCCCCGCAACGCCATTTGTTTCAGGCTGCTGTCTTGTTGCAGGAGCAGCTGGCTCAAGATCCTCGTACTTCAGAGAACCAAACTTGATCTTGGCTTGCAATCCAGCAAACCCGTCGACCTCAATCACGGCAATGGACGATTGTCCTTCGATCTCAACACCAGTAATAAGGCCGTACAAACGTTCCTGGCCCGTTTTCGTCGTATTGAACTTTTTGGCTTCGTCCAAGCGCTTAAAGGCACGAGGCAAAAACGATACTCGGACACCAACGGTGAATCTTGAAAGGTTCTTGGGCATAGTCTTTGTCAATTGAATAAAGCGAGAAGGAATACTGCTATAGAGGTGAAAATGGGTGTGAATATATTTCAGGGGTGGCTTTTTGCTGTGATGCTCTTTTTGGACGCGTTTACTTATAAGGATTACGCAGCAATCTTTATTTGAAATCACTACTAGATCTAGTGGAGTTATAATGTATTGGTTAATACAACCACCCACCAACATTATCTCGTCACCCTCCAAAATAAAAGTGCTTGTTCACCAAAATTACTTTGCCAACATCCAGCAATAAATCTCTCGTCACCAAAATTCTCTTTTCATGTTCAACTTTCACTGCAATCTACTGTACTCCCCGCCCTATATGTTTGATAGGAATGATATGGTTCCGTGCTCATGGTATACGCATCGACCACACCGATTGCAGCATTATCATTCCTATCAAACATGGCAATGGGACGGTGGTATTGTATGGCAATGAAGCTGAAGACCAGGACGGCGCGTTTGAAGACAAGGAAGCAGGAGCCGTATTTGCTGTGAATATCTTTGGTGGTGACGATGCGCAAGTGGACAAGATTGAGGAGCAAGAGCATGCTGGCATTTTTATGACAAGTGTCGCTGACAAGTCTCATTGTGCTGTTGACGAACCACCGGACAACGATGCAACCAGGCTTTTGCGTTTTTACAAGGAAGAGTTGCTAGGAAACGCGAGTGTGGCTGAAAATGATGATGTATCAGTGCCGGCGGAGATCAACACCCTTTTGAGCCAATACCATCATTGTTTTGTGGAACACAGTGGTTTGGGTCGTGTAAAGGGTTATGAACATCACATTCCTTTGCAAGACACAACCCCTGTACGATCAAAACCATACCGTCTTACGTGGGAAGAAGAGGATCACTTACGCAAGGAATTGGCAACCATGACAGACCTTGGGCTCATAAGACCTTCAAAAGGAACCTGGACCTCCCCTATTTTCTTTGTTCGAAAGAAAACCGGTGAATTACGACTTGTCATCGATTACCGCCAAATGAATTCGAAAACGGTTAAGGACGCTTATCCACTTCCCCACTTGGATGATCTACTTGGGTCTATGGCTGGAGCGCAAATCTTCTCGACATTGGACGCTGCCAGTGGGTATTGGCAGATACCCTTGGCTCAGGAGGCTATTGAGTTGAGTGGTTTTGTCACAAAATACGGGACATACGAGTTTACAGTTATGCCATTCGGCTTGACATCCGCCCCAGCGTGCTTCCAAAGAACCATGACAAGTCTTCTTGGACCCTTTATCAGCAAATTTGCTTTCGTCTTTATCGATGATATTATCATCTTTTCTTCATCACTGCAAGATCATGTCAACCACCTGGAACAAGTTTTACAAGTTTGTGACCAAGCCGGTTTACGTTTGAAAAAGGCCAAGTGCGATTTTGCTCGATCCTACGTTGAGTATCTCGGCCACATCGTTTCAAGTGAAGGCTTATTACCATCCCCAAGTAATGTCACCAAGATCCGCAAGATGCAAGCCCCTCAAAACATTGATCAAGTACGATCCTTTATTGGAATGGTGAATTATTATCGGCGCCATATTCCTGAATGTGCTCAACTCTTGCACCCCATCTCTCGATTGATACGGCGTAAAGGAAGATTTTATTGGGGACCCGAGCAAGAAGCTGCTTTCACACACATCAAGATACTTTTGACAGGGCCACCAATTTTGGCGTACCCGGATCGCAATCAAGTACCCATCTTAACAACGGATGCTTCTGGTGAAGCGTTAGGAGCCATCTTATCCCAAAGTCCCGATGGAAGTGACGATGAGGAAACAGTGGTTCCATTCGAATCACGTGTCTTACGTGGACCTGAATTATCTTACGCTGCTGTTCATCAAGAGGCACTTGCAATTGTATGGGCCGTGAACAAGTTTCGTCATTACCTATCAGGACGCCATTTCATTCTTCGTACCGACAACTCTGCTTTGACCTATATTTTATCCAACGACAAGCCCAGCCCCAAGCTGCAAAGATGGGCAGCCGCTCTTTTAGAATACAACTTTTCGATTCAACATCATCCAGGACACCGCAACCCTGCCGATGCACATTCAAGGCTCCTTCCTTATTGAATTGATAATCGAGTACCCATTCCATTCCTTATGATGCAATTACTTATTTCGATGATTATGATTACAAATGTCGTGATGTGCTGATATGACTTCGTTTTATGATTATATAAAGACTTTATGATGATGACAATAAAAACTTATCTATCTCTTCCTCGAACTTTCTTTTCATTACCTTGGCTATTGTTTAGTTCTTATCCTTTACAACATTTAAAGGCGGCGACAATCGCCTTCTTTTCCTTTCTTTCTATTGATTCCAACATGGAGTATCCTCGCTATTTAGCCTTGTATTATTACATCACCGAGAAAAGATACCCATTGAATGTTGACGAGTCGACCAAACGCAAGTTGCGTTATCAAGCTAAACGTTTCGAGGCGTACCGTGGCAAGTTGTATCGTAGCTCTGATGACCCTCAATTCTTTGGCCCCGAGGTTTTACACGAAGGAAATGTGGATGAAGTTATTGCTCAAGTACACAATGAAGGCCATTTTGGAGAAACCAATACATCGAGACGCATTCGAGAAAACTTTTGGTGTCCAAGTTTATCGCAACGTGTCAAGGAGTTTGTCAAGAGCTGCCAAACATGTCAATTCCGTCAACGAGTACCAAGGCGTAGATACGCACAAGCACATCCCATTACTACACCCTCTCGTCCATTCTTCATGATTGGATGTGACGCTGTAGGTCCCACCCAAGAACCAACGAAGCATGGCAATCGATATCTTTTAGTTGCAGTGGATTATTTAACAAGATGGCCGGTTGCTGCTGCAGTCCCAAACATAAATGAGGAAACGACGGCTGATTTTCTTTTTCATCAAGTGGTTAAAATGTATGGCGTTCCATCTTACATACTGACTGATCGAGGCTCGAATTTTACTTCTGGATATGTACGAGAATTTTTACGTGATATGGGTTGTCGCCATGTTACAACCACAGCATACCGACCACAGAGCAACGGCTTATGTGAAAGGTTAAATCAAACTTTAACGCAAACGATTGCCAAGATCGCTCGTGAAGAAGATAAAACGGACCATTGGGATGAATACGTTGACATGGCGCTGTTGGCTATCCGCACGATGCCAAATGAATCCACCAAGTACTCCCCTTCGATGTTGCTATTTGGATATGAGTTACGGACCCCTGCAACTTGACCTGCCCCTCGTATGGATTACGTTGAGGGTGAAATTGAAGTTGAGATCGCACAACGAATACAAGTCATCAAGTATCTTTCGGAGACTAGTCGTGAGGTAGCACGTAAACAGGTGAAAGATCGACAACTTCGTGACAAGCGTCGTTATGATCAATACGTAGCACCTCGTAAACGCTTTCGGATTGGTGAACAAGTTTTAATGCGAGACAAGGCACCTGTTGGAAAATTTAGTGACAGATGGATTGGGCCCCCTGTTGTAACCAAAATCAACGATCATGGTACTTACCATTTAACGGGACCTTCATCAAGGAAACTCGATGGCGCTGTACATGGTGATACGTTGGTACCATTCTACCAAAGGAAGAACATGGTACCAGATGTTCAAGTTCAACGTGCCGCGCAAAACTTTCAAGCATGGATTGATCGTTCAAGCAGAGAGTAGTCTTTTGGGGTAGTAGTTTGGCTTTTCGGCGGGAGAATTGACACACCTAAAATCGAATGATATGCCAAACTACTACTACCTATGGTAAAAATTATGACGTCAAGATCGTTTTCGAAGCCTTACACGTGATGTCCTCTTTGTTGTGAACGATCCTTTTCGGAATCAAGTTTTGCCTTTGACTTTCCATCAACAACATAGACATTCCCATCTTCTACTTGGACACTTCCATTATCCACCACAACACCAACCACCTTTGCAATTACATAGACTTTTCCTTTATTCTTCTCTTATACTTGTAATCGTTCATCAGTGCTATATTTTCTATAAGCTATTTAAACCCTTCTCTTGCAGTAATAAATCATCATCTTATATTCAGTGTAATATCTTGATCTACTCTCATCTTCCTTAGTCTTGAATTCCTTCCATTCTTGGCTAAGTCATTATCTAATCCCGCTCGTTTATTACACTCTTAACGATCCTTGACGTTCCCCACACACTCCTTTGCCCTTCCCTTTTTAGAACCCCCGACGCCCCGTATCATGCACCAACACTTCCACGTCATACTTGTTTATTTTTTTCCCTGTTCCGTTTTCTTGTTTCCTTTTCGTGGCTTTTCTTCTTACTCATCACTTTTGTTATTACTTGCTTCCTTTTGACCTTCACGACCTTTCACTTTCAGCACATTCCACTTTACTTCTTATGTTATTCATTCACTCTCTTACATTGGCACAGTACAACAGCACCACGATTGCACCCTGATCTCAAACGTCATTGTCAAGCACCATGTTCACGATTCTCTTATCATCTTTATCACCCTTTCGGTGGCCCCCGAATGCACCATGACCAAGTATTATCATTCAGACACGCTATAAGTTAAATCCAGACACACTAAAGACAAGCACACACGTATACACACACACACACACACACACACACACACACACACACGCACACGCACACAAGTACACATACGCACACACATGTCATCATTATCATTATCATTATCATTAGCATCGTTGTATCAATCATCTTAGTATAAAAAGGCTCGAGTATTGAATAAAGAAGGATAAGCTTGTTGAAGCCGAAGATTGAGATTGTTTTCTATTGTTGATCGCTGACTACAGTGCGAACGAGACCTTTTATCCCTTTAGATCTTTCATTTCCCTCTCTCTATTGTACCCTTGAATCCCCCCTTTGATTATCTTTTCGATTGTTCATTGCAGGTTGATCTTTCAGTCTACAGTGTTCACTTGTTTATTCTTATTTGATTGCTATATCATTGTATTTCTATTTGCCGGCGAAGTCTTTATCATTTTACCTACCCTATACACCCAACTTACCTTCCCGGATATTCTTACATTACCCCTAGCACCACACGTGTCATGGCAATCCCTTCATTTTCACACATGATGATCCCGCTAACACAATGGTATCTCACAGGGGGAAAATGTTCGTGTTAAACGCGTTTCGATAGTGTTTTTGCGTGTTCATGGATGAAGAGCTGTAAGTGAAATCTCTTCCTTGAAATGGAAGGTTGAAGGTGCTGGCATTCATTTTATTACTTTTTGAGGATAACTTGTGCATCCATCATCCATCCATCCACCGCTGCATCCATCCATCCCCCACTGAGCGGTGGGACTTAGAAAAAATTCACTTGATTCCTCCCTGCTGAGCGGGCAGCACTTCGAAAATTTTCGCTTGATTCCCCCCCTACTCTACACTGAACCCATTCCCACCCCGCTGAGCGGCTGGACTTAGAAAAATTCGCTTGATTCCTCCCCATACCTTCCCTGCTGCTGCTACACACACCTACTTATTTTTTACGCATACACACAACACTACTTTCATATCATTCTTTCGACTATACATGTTTGCTTTATCAAGTATTATTTGCAACAACTATTGGAAGCTATAACGCAAGTGCATTTGGCCTGACAATACAATACATGGCGTGCATTACAGCTTGGAAGGTGAATGGCGACTGTATACTATTATTTTACGCCAATGCACTGTTACTCAACTCTACCCACCAACACTCAAAAGCACGTACATATACCTTTGGGGCAATACACGTATTCAAGGAAGAGGAAAAACAAGAAGAAAACAGGTGTCAATGTAGCTTGGAAAAGCGAATGGCAGCTTTGAACTTGTCCTTCAACATTACTTTTCAGCCTTGGAATTAGCACGCCGTACAACGGAAGAGTGAGTAGTTGGATACTTGAACTTGTCGCGAGCACGTTGTTGTGAAGCATATAATAACAGTGGAAGTAATGTAGGCAAGCAATGGACGTGGTTGCTATGGAATGGAACTTGCAATGCTGTATCATAGACGACAAACGTGATGTGTTTCCATGGATACCATAAAGATAAGTCAAGACAATATTTTAAAGGATATATAACTAATACTCTGATTTTATTTTGCGAGGTAGATACTTAACAAGAAGGTGGTCATCAACAAGATTGCTGAGAGACACAACACTATGTATATAATGTACCGGGATGATCGAGAGCATTGATATCGGTTGCGTGGTGGCCTGACAAGCGGATAAACCATAAATATGGTGAGTGGGCCAAGCATGGCGAGATGGATTGTACCATTCAACAAATGCAAAATGGTAATCCTCGTCTTGGAAGCGATGAGCAAAGTAGGGATGGGCATCCGACTAATCGAACATGTTCTGGATTAATTTGGCTTCTTCGAATAAATAAACCTTTATTCTTATTCTGTTCAGGCTTCTCAACTCTTATTCTTATTCTATTCTTATTCTGTATACGTTATTCGAATGTGTTCCAATGGACCACCTATTGTTTCAGAATTATTCGCGAATGGACTCGGACGGTATACAATGCCTACAGGTTTCAATGCCAACGCCATTGGGTTCACTCCATTGCACATTCAGGTTGACAGATCGCAAGAGGTCCGCTCCTATAATACGTTGCCATGTCAACCAAGTAAGCAGCCTACATCTACGATACGCGTCTGAGGTGTTTTCTTTAGCTAGTTGTTCGGGGCATACTCCGCAGTAGATATGCATGATGCATGTCAGCGACAAGGTCAGCTATACCCAATACAAGGGGGAATACCTATGAAGCGAAAATACTCATATACGACATGAACCAGTGGTATGCACATAACGTGATAGTCACGCTACGGAAGAAAAAGCATTCAAAAGGGTCAGCTCAATGGACATGGGATCCGCCATTGTGGTTTGTAGACTAACAGAATGAATGACGAATAAGGCCTCTTTGTTCTAAAGTTATTCGAATAAAAAGTTGTTTGTTCTGGATTCTTCGAGCGGTTTCTTATTTGTTCTTGTTCTGTTCGAGTCGATCAAATCCTATTCTCATTCGGGTTTATTCGAACAAACCATGTCGAACAACGATTAATCGAATAAAGTGCCCATCCCTAGAGCAAAGTAGTAGAGCGGGCGAGCAGGAGCAAGATGTCGTTGACCAGTTGGAGATTCCATGGTGATGGCAATGGTACAACCGAGACGAGTTTGTCGTGACGCCATGGATAAGAACGTTTGGCCAAGTATGTTGATTTTGGGTATTTTCTGGATTCTGTTGTTGACATGCACCTTGTTTCCCACTTGTGTTTCAGTGAAAGGGATAGGGCGGCAGACTCCATCAAAAACGCTCTGATAATATGCCACAAGACACTTGTAATGGCTGTCATCCATGAACACCAAGTCTCCAGTTGCCAATGGTTGTGATGAAGGAGGAAGAGGTTCCCATCCGCTCGCCTTCTTGTAGTCATGAGGAAGAGGTGTAAGTGATGCATGCCTCTCGAAAGCAATAAGGTCGAACGAAAGGTTTTTCAAGGCGTCGTTATTGGTTGGCGATGTAAGGAGTCGAGCAAGTTTATAAGCAAAGGAGTCGGCACCTGCTTCAAACATTGCGTCTGTCAACGTGCTGCTCATGGTGTCCCTCAAGAATCGCTTCATGAAGGTGACCTCAAAGCGATCCTTGCTGTTGGTGTCTATGTTCTTGATGATGCCGTTGTACCTCTCGAAGCTGAAGAGCCAAAAACCATACACCGGTCCAAAGTCTCGGATAACCTCTCGAAGGTGACAATGTAAGTGCATGTTTGGTGTGATAAAACCATCGCCATACAAATTGACACAACCTCTGCAAAATGCAAGAAGAAGGTCATGCGCCTCGTCGATTTCGTGATACGTGATGGATGGTTGGCATAGTAGCGTCACAGCTTGCACGAAGTGGAGCCAATTTTGGAGGTGGTTGGAATCAATCTTCTGAATAAGCAATGGCACAGAATACAAGATGGTCCAAGAACGCAACTCGTCTGAAGTCATACCAGCGAAACCAGATCTGATGTGACCAGCAGCAATCAGATATCCAGGTGGAATCGACATCGAACGAAGCTCTATCTCCATGGCCTCAAGTTTGCGCTTATCGATCAGTCCTTGCTTAATCCAATGATGGGTCATCCTGCTTGCTGTCCCAGAGAAAAGATTGTGCATCGGATCGATGGTCGTGCAGCGGATTGGATCAAAGTACTTGAGTTCATGCAACATTGTCATTCTTGTGCCATATCGTCGTTCATGCTCTTTGCGGGCTTGTTCAGTTGTCAATCGGCTCCACTCAAGTGCCCTTTGGCGATTTTGCTCCTTGGTTCGAGGTCTCCATTGGCGCATATCAAAGTTGGAATAATCACGGGACAAAGCATGCCAAGGGTTTGTATCCCATTGATTGGCACACTTGTCACAACCACATGTGGCACCTGGTGCGGTGAAACCACAAACCTTTCGTGAGGCAGGGATATCACATGCAACGAAGAAAAGAGCAGCACGAACAGGGACTTTTCGACCATTTGGCAGAGTCACTTCGATACCATTCGCGTACAATTCCTTGAGATCCTCAACAATGAATCTACAAAGCAATGAATGGTATGTCAGTATCGTGCATATACAAAATGGCAAGATGATGATGATTTACAGGATTTCCAAGATGAACAGGGACATGAGGATAATGATTTCGTG